CGAGAGAGAGGACAAAATCAGTGGTAAGAATCTAGAAGCTGAGCAATCTGCTGGGTCCAATAAGGGGTCCAAACCCATCCTAAATAAAGTGGGATCTACTAATCGATCCAAACGTTCAAGGGTATAGAAAAAGAAAAAGGATCGTGTTGATTTCATTAAAAGTCAGATCTCCCGGGATGGGTAAGGTGCAGGGAGGATGACAGAGTTGAGGGAGCGAATTACAGTTGTCATCGTTAGTGGTTTAATGGATTGATTATATGTTCTTTTTTTGTTACTTTATTTCCAATGTGTTGTGAAAATGTTTATTGTTTATTTCATTAATGATTTATGTGATGATGTATATTTTGAATTTCAATGTTATTTTCAATTCTTTTTGCATATTTGTCCCACTAGGATGGTTGATGAAGCAACCATGGATATAGCATGTAATGTAAGTTTGTATTGCATGTTTTATTTTTTATTTTTGGAGATCTATGATAAGATATTCGACCTTATGGGTTCTATGGATGATCTATATGTTGTTATTGGTTATTGACACGTGTGAAATCCCAATGAAGGCAACCAAGTTCCTCTCCCTTTTCAGTCATTCTAAGGTTTTTCTAGATGGCCTTTATTGGGGATATGCATACGTGATACATGCAAGTTCGGTATTACGTGGTTTAAAGGCAACCAAAAACCCATATTTTTAAAGATATAATATCTTCTTGTAGAGATATTCGTTGGTTTATACTATGTTCTCTGATACCTCACAGTTTCATAAAACTTGAATTGAATATTATATTATTCTTTATTACTAATGTTGTATTTGAGGGTTTGTTTATTGTAGTTTTAGGGTTTGTGTTTTGTAGTTTTAGGATTTCTGTTTTATAGTTCTAAACCTTCAGAAAAGATGAGTTTGAGGACATCCGGTACCTCCGGAACATTGTACTATCACTGCAGACTACAACGTTCTTTACTTCGCAACAGCCACATAGCTATGGAGGACAGTTTTACAGGTGTCCAAGGAAAAGATGACTTTTTTAGGTGGACAGATCGATTCGAGGATTCCACCGTTGATAGTGATCAGGCGTGAAGAATTTCGTTAGAGAACAGATTATCTCGTGACATTAACCAACTATGTTTTAAAAATAATATTAAAATATTATTAATTATTATTTTAATAACCATTTTTTAAAATTTTGTTTGTCGTGTTACACTTTTTTGCGTTGTTTGTTTTTATTTTGTAACATTTAAGGTAGATATTTGCTTTCAAGTATGAAATATGTTAGTTTGATCAGTTTTGTTATAAACAGCACTATTCTACGAAGACAGAAAAGTCATTTGTACAAAAAACAAATAAACAGACATCTTTTCCACAGCAACTTTCTGACACAGCTGTGCGCAGCTTTAATAAGTTGTAGCCACCCTAAACAGACCATAAGCATGAAAGCACATAACCGAATATGATTTTTCAGTGCAAGTTAGTAACCTGGCGAACCATAAGTGCATATTCAATGGTTTGTGTCTAGCAAAGCCAAAAGCGATAATAAAAACAAGGCTTATTAGTTGTATCCTTCATAGTTTTTTTTTTTTTTTTCCACACTATAAGCGTGATTATTTATTTAGAAGCATAACCACTACAAAGCATGCTATAGATTGTATCACACAAAGGACAAGCTTTACAAATTTAAATTATGAGTTTATAGTAACACAATTCATGATAAAATTACCACCATAGCAAAGAAAAATAATTTTAGAACCTAGCAAAATACCTAAGAAAAACCCTGTATGGCCTACTTCTAGTGTGATAGAAATGAGGATTACAAAAATAACATAAAAAGGGAACCCTAAAAGATAGAAACCTAAAGATAATAAGTGCGTTGGAAAAATTAGCAAGTTGAAGTGCAGCAGAGCCATAGGCACGTGATTCAAACATACAATTTATTTAGGGAATAAAGGAATGATTGAAATGTTGAGAATTATTGATAACAGTTCCTCAAAAACAACAGAAGGAACAAAGGAGCGAGCATGATCACATACAAGAATAAAGAATGAAGGAATTTCCAATGTTTGGTGAACAATTACCATATCACACTTAAGGTCATAAACTTTCCAAAAAAAGGAGATGTGCATAAAACTACATTAAAAAATGTTTAGCAAAACAATAATAAAACAAGTGAAAATAATTAGTTAAACAGTAGGTAAAAATGCCAAAGTTCTTGGTCCCTTGCTAGTTGAAATGCAAACAACAGAATGTAAGGCATAAGCTATTGGGATGCTGCTTATATGTCTTCATGCTAATGAAACGAAACAAATCTGGATATTTTAAAAAAAAAAACTAAATAAATTTAAGGGAAAAAAAAGTAAGGACAATTTAGTTAACATATATTGGGTTAGCAGTCTTCTTAGTCAGTAAGAGACCACACCTTAAAAGCTTAACATCAAAATTCAATTTTCAGTAACTTCAAAAGGCAAGGAAGTTCTATAAGAGAGCTTTGGAAAAAGTTTTTTAAAATAACTTCAGAGCATGTACCCTTGGCAGTCCTTGAGGATTAGATTTTTTTTATTTAATCTATATTTCACATATTTTTAAATGACAGTTTGTGACATAAAAGTTAGTCTTGAGGATTAGAATTTTTTATTTAATCTATCTTTCACATATTTTTAAATGACAGTTTGTGACGTAAAAGTTTGTATACAACAAAAAAACTCAAGCTTTCTGTTGATTGGCATCTTACTTCACAAGAGGCTATGCCTTGCCAAATAAAATTGATTCATATAAACTCTGACAAGGTCAAATGAACTAACAACGTCTTCACAACAGCTCAAATCTATGTAATTGTTATATCTTTTATAGTTCACAGCCTCACCACATCAAGTGATCAAACCATCATAATGAAGGCATATAAACAAATAACCAATTGTACATTTTTTATGCTTCATGCAGAATGTGAGTACAAGCTTACAAGCTCAGCACAGTAAGATTCAAACTTACAACTTCAGAAAAATGTAGAAGTGTGTCAAATCAAAGCACATCCAAGAGAGGTTTGGAGTGAATTGCTTAAAATAACTTCAAAGCTTGTACATTTGGCAGTCCTCACGGATTATATTCTTTTTCATAATCTATATCCCACAAATTTTTAAAATGGCAGCTTGTAACATAAAACCTTTTCGACAACAGAAACTCAAGAAGGTTTTCCCTTGATTAGTAACTTATCTATACAAAGCATATTTAAAATATGGCTTGTAATTCTCCTACAATAAAATCCTATCCTTTAGTTTTATTAAGTTTTTATGATTTCAAATCTCAATCTTTAATTTAAAATGATGATCTTAGCCCTATAAAGTCTATGATTCATAATCGGGATCAGTGCAATTAAATTCCTGACCAAATAATCTAAAATGATTTCAACACAATTAAATTGTGAAAACTGTTCGGTTTGATTTTGAAATTTACAATTCAATTTGCAAATAAATTTCTAAGTAAATCATCTAAGGAACCAAGTGCAATTAAAGTTTAAAAATTGTTTTGTTTTTGTCAATAATGAATCTATATTATATATGTGCTTCATCATATTTTGGTAACACTCTCAATCTTTCCCAAAAAATAAAAATATAATATTCTCATGTCTTAGCACTTCCCAAGCATAGCATTAACTGAAGCATTACAATCTCCCTGCAAAACTCTTCACCTTCTACAAGCATCCTCTTTTTATCTTCCACAAATAATGGATAGATCATCTGCTTCATCCTCCAACTCAATCTTCCTAGCTCCAAATGATGAAAATCCCAATGATTGCCTCCCCAACTTCAGCCTAGACTAGCTCTTTGAGTGTAGGGTGAAGCTAATAATGATGTTGGTTCTGGCCACGCTCTATTACTTCATGTCGGAGCTAAAGTGCATAGGAAAACCACAACAACCACTACCGTATTCATCTTTGGGGAGTTAATGCTTGAAGTGGCGTCTGTGCACGCAACCAATGGATCCTAAGGTAGAATTAGATGGGCTAGTATTAGTGGATCTAATTTGAGACAACTAGGTGGTGGAAAAATCAAAAGAGGAGGGGGACCCGCATATCACCTTGGGGTTCAATGATGGAACTGTGGAGGTGTCATTTAAGGTAGATTAATGTGATCGCATTTACCAAGGATAATATCTAGTGATATGGAATGTGCTCAATATTTTTACTATTATTTTCTATTTTTTTCATATTTAGGATAGAAGTTAATATCTTCATATTCATTATTACTTATTCCAACTTCCTCTTTACCCATGCTCTCATCTCTATCACTTGATTTGTATCCCTCAATCTCTTCCTCCATTTTCATGAAGTCATCATTTCATCTTTAGGAGCGTCTATATTAGCTCTTGCACTTACATTTCATAAACTCATTTCCAATAATACATGTTTGACTGGTTGATTCTCAAACTATTAAAGGACTTTTCATATCATCCTATGTCAAATTATCATCATCAAAAAGCTAGCTCGTCCTCAACATTTAAAGTATTAGTAAAAATCTCTCAAATCAAGATAAGCCACCCAACTTGTTGACTAGAGCGTCTGTGTGGCATTAAAGCCTCACCCCACCTAAGGACAAAGGAAACGTTAATCACAATTCAACACACTTTATTGTCCTTCATATGCTTCCAATAAAATCGTCTTTATAAGTTGTATTTCAGAAATAATCTCAGCGGGGAAATTCTTTTCTAACGAAGTGACAATGAGACGTTTCTTTGCTTGAATTTCAAAAATTCCATTTTGATGTGATGAACTTATCATATTCCTAGTAAAAGTGAAATCATCAGCAAAAAAATCATCAGAAATAATTCCATTTTGAAATCATTAGCAATAAAATTCCATTTTAATAAATGATTTCAAACTCCACACTCTCAGCTCGTCTTCACACAACAATAGTAAAAGTTAAATCATCACTTTCTAAGAGATGCTTTACAAGCACAAGCAATAAAAATAAGTCCTAAAGATATAAAAAAAACAAGAACTCAGTCAGCCAGTACTTACTTCCCGGAGTGCAAGATCATCCGAACGAATCCTACGAGAGGAACAGTCTCCTGCAGGATCTGATCCTCCCAATCAACCCACCCCGCTTTCTCTGTCCTCTCTTCATCCTCCTCCTCCCTCACCGAGCTTTCCTCCTCGGTCTCCTCATCGGCGACAACCGACGAAACAACAGGTCTTCTGAGCATAGCACGGTCATCACCAGCGCCACCTCCGAGTCCCTGCGTCCTCACGGATCTTAGAGCAGCAATAGAAGTTGGATGCAGGGTTCGTGGAGTTGTGGAAAAGAGCAATACATTGGCAGGGAATTGTCTTAGGAGGCGGCGGAAAAAGGGTGGAGAAGCACCTAAAACTGACACCATCAGCAGAGGATTGTTGAGAACAGGGCTTATGATTTCCGATTGTTTCTTCTCGTTCGCTTTATTCTACAAGGGTTTATTGGGTTCCCGCCGGTAGAGCTGGGGGATAACGGGAAGGCTGAACAGAGTGAGTTTTATGGGAACGGATGCAAGTGAAAAATAGAGAAGAGACGACCGCGTCTACTTGGACGAGCGGTACTCTCACCATGCGCTCTCTTTTTTATTTCAACAAGTAATTTTTGTGCGGCTCGTATGTATGTACGGATGTATTTATGTGTGTGTGTATAAAGATTGGTCGGAAGCTATTATACTAGCTCTCAATCAATCTCATATGTCTAACCACTTGATCTCGCACTACAAGTCAGATGCACTCAGGCGGACTCGAACCCGTGGCTCCAAGAAATTCACAACTGAGAATGCAGCTATCAGTCAATGAATCACGGCGCGCAACACACACACACAGATATATATATATATATATATATATA